CAGACCCCTCACTCCCCTCAAACCCCTCACAGTCCTCACTCCCCTCACAGCCTCCCCTCAGACCCCTCACTCCCCTCAAATCCCTCACAGTCCTCACTCCCCTCACACCCTCCCCTCAGATCCCTCACAGTCCTCACTCTCCTCAGACTCCTTGTTTCCTAAAATGGAAGAAAAGAACCCTCAGACCCCTCACTCACCTCACATCCCACCGGCCTTGGGTCCCTCCGCGCCACCACAGCTTCACTGAGATCTGGGGCGAAGGTAGGCGAGCCTGAGGCACCAAGACTTTCGATCAAGTGTGTGCCCACCTGCCTGAGGGCAGGCGAGGGGGGACCCATCGCGGCACAAAAACACTGCTGGCTTTCCAAAATCATGGAAGCGCGTGTTCACCTTCACATTTGCACTTTGTTCAGGGAAAAAAAACCCAAAAAACAAACTTACAAGAAAACCCACTCTATCACTGACCTGAGTAGTCAATGGCACAGTGCCGGGAAGGTGAAACATGAGTTGCTTCAGATGTTTCCAATGGGAAGTTGATTGAGGCCCAGAAGGGAAAGGAGAGCACTGTCCTGAGGGCTCAGTGCCCCTACTGCAGTGAGCACCACACTAAATTCCACAAATGTCTCATAAATTTAAGCACATGGCCCTGGACACCAGAGCACTCGGTGGAGGAACAACAGTAACAGCAGAGGCTCAAAACCCCCCAAAGCATGGCTCATACCAACCAGCAAAAGGCAACAGAAACACCCCAGAAAACAAAGCTAATGAAAGCCCTCACATTTATTTTAACCTTTTTAAGACTATTTCAAGCTGGTTCTGGTCACAGCCCAACTTCTCAATCACTAGTGCTCCTCCACGGTCTGCTCCAAGCCAGGACAACACCCAATGCCACAAGAATAATTTGATTTAGTTGGTAAATTCCCAATTTTAACACCTATGTATTTCCTCCCAGTCTGTGTGTAGCACAGATCAGCTGATAACAAGCATCAGGGACTATTTCCATTAAAGATATTATCTGAAAAGACAAGTTTTTCATTCAGTTTGGTTCCTTCCTTCCTTCCAACCTGTTTCCCCTCATGTGTGGGCAAGGAAGCTGTGGAAACTGAGGACATTTTGTATGAGTTTCCATACTGAACTTTCCGATTGAGTTTAGGAGGTCTATTTGCAAGCGTGCTCATATTGCTGGTCCCTGAGGTGACATGGCACAAGCACTGCAGTACAATTCCCCAAAGTAATATCTTGGCATGGATGCAGGCTTTTGCCTCAGGAATATACACATTTTATGGATTCACCACTGTTGCCAGTGAGAGGCCTGCCAGGCTGGCTGAGCTTTATGCTAGCTGCTGAGCTCATCTCGTCCTGACTCACGCACAAGCACATCCAAGGCAGTAAAAACACAAAATATTTATTGGAATTTAAAATGAGTTGTGGGCTGTTTCCTGTTTATGAGCTGTGGGCTTCTCGTCCCACACCAAATGTGTAGCAACCTCCGTCTACAGCACGGTCAGCAGGGAGGGCTGTGTCACCCCAGACATGGAAGAGAGCTCTCTTAATCCCTGTATTGGAAGTGTTTCTTCTGAAGAATTTGGATACTTTTCGTCCATAAAAACTGCTGATGTTGCAGAAAGCATCTGTAGTGAAGGAGTAGAATCTATTCTGCACTTAAAATATTTATACAGGACACTGTACTGATGCCTTTTTTACTGAAAGAGCTTTTAAAGTGTAGATTACTGACTGGATTGTGTAAATTTGTATCACATTTCGAATCTTAATAACATACTAAATATCATAAACATCCATTAGCTATTTAAATGTGCAAGCTTTTAGAAATCACAAATTAGATTACTTACTAGGCTTTTAGTTGGAATGAGATTTAATTAGTGTTATATTCTATTAATATGCAATAACCTTATTGCTATTGCCTAACAACTTGACAGTTGTGAAACAAGCAGCCAGATTTGTGCAGTAGTTGATTTTCCATCTTTCCAGTAGCCAGCCAGCTTTGCCAGAGGTCTGCACAGCCACATGCAGCATTTCTGTCACAAAATGTTTTCCTTTGCAGAACAAAAATTTCTTTTCCTTTATTTAAAGGCCAGACATGGAGCCTCTCAAAACAATTCTGTGGGAGCAGATGAGCAGATCCAGTCAGCACAGACTTATTCAGAAGCCTGGGAGAGAGACTACACCAGGAAAAACTGCCAGCACCTTCATCACCTCCGCCAGCTACAGGTAACACACGGGAAGTGGGCTGACCCTGCACTCAGATGGTTGCTGTGGTTTCTCTTGCTGATTTGATGACAAAGGGTTTAGCAGACAATGGGGCCTTGCTTATGCTGGGTCATGACGAAAGATTTTCCCAAGAAGGTGGATACAGCCACAGAGCCTTCCCATTCGGGTATTTGTTTGAACAGGCACTGCAGGCACCCAGTATCGTAGCCAGCCCTTCATCAGCTGAAATAGCAGATATACAGTTCTGTTTGTCCTTGAGTGATTATTGAAGTTTTACAGAGCTAACATGTGCTGAGTGAAAATTACTTTAATACCACTGAATTACTCTTCTT